TTCAGGTGTTGCGGTCCATGTGTCACGTACAGGTGATTACATAATTACATGTGAATATGACAAACTAAGATAAAGTAGCTAGCAAGCTTCCAAGCCAAAATGATAGTTCATTGCCATGTCCAAGGAAATTTAACAAATGAATCACGTCCTAAGAAATTAAACCAATTCTTCAATTAGAAAATTGCAACCTCAAATCATATTAACTCAGTGCATCTCTCTAGCAATGTGCAGTATGTTACTCTAGCAATGCAGTACATTATTAAATATATTCTGTATTGTAGTAAAAAAATTACATAGTTGAACATGTGACAATTCTACCACATTCTGTTGATATAGTATGAATATCTGATATGATGAAAACATGCAGCACATTAATAAATATATTCTGTATTGTAGTTAAAAAATTATATAGTTGAACATGTGACAATTCTACCACATTCTGTTGACATAGTATAAATACCTCATATGATGAAAACATTAAGCACATTAATAAATATATTCTGTACTTTAATAAAAAAATTATATAGTTGAACATGTGACAGTTCTACCACACATTCTATTGACATAGTATAAATATCTCATATGATGAAAACATGCAGCACATTAATAAATATATTCTGTATTTTAATTAAAAAATTATATAGTTGAACATGTGACAGTTCTACCACATTCTGTTGACATAGTATGAATATCTAATATGATAAAAACATGCAGCACATTAATAGAGATATTCTGTATTTTATTAAAAAATTTATGTAATTAAACAGTTCTACCACATTCTGTTGACACAGTATAAATATCTCATACGATTCAAACAAAATTGCGGTCGCAAGGCAAATACCTTGAGGGTGCAGCAAGGGTGAATCCACACGAAGCGCCGTAAAAGGCCGAACGCGGTTTACGGCTTTGGAAAAGGAACCTCGTTAAATGCAATACCAGTAAAACAAGGCGCAAACAGTGAATAGCACCGTCGGATTATCGTTTCTGCAACGGACGGAGTGCTCCCGTAGATGTGGAGGAAGATAGCGGCGACATAAGACGTTGCCAGGATCTCTACCTGGGCTGGCAAGTTTTTGGATTTAGACTCCTAAGCACGAGGCCACTTGCAGGCCGCGCAAGCTTACGGTCATCGCTTCTTCATCGTTTCTATTCGAAGATTCACCGACAGTAGCAGAATTGGACCACCCGTCGAACCGTTACTTATATAACTCTTTGTGAGGATCGATGGTCGGTCGAATTAACGACCAATATTGGTGGCACGATTAGGAGAGCTTGTACTAAACTGGCTTTGTGCTGCTTACGAAGTGACCCTATTATCGGTGCCTTATCTGTCAGCATTCATCTGACGAACTTACGGAGAGCTCGATACAAAGGTGTTTCGATGAGGACAACGGTATTTAATTCTTATACCGTATAGGTGTAACAAGCCCTTGGTGAAATGAATTCGGTCTGAAATTGACACGCGTCTGTTTTAATTTTTGTAGGGAAATTTACCTATGAGAAGCATTTGTTAATGGGTGAAAGATTGTATTGGTAAACAGAATTGATGAGAAGTGGACGAAATTTGATTACTGAAAAATAAATTATAAATGAAACGTTTAATTCTCCTACCGAGATGGGTATAGGTGTAACAAGTGGCATTGAAATTCGACTAGGAACAAATGATTCATGAATACTTCAGTTCTCTTTATGTCTTTTTACTCAGCTCATGATTTCTCTTAATTGAAAGTTTAATACAACTGAATATTATGCATGAATCGATAATTTGATGTAGTCATTTCGTATGGGATTGATAACATTATATGCTAGGTCACCAATTTGTCCCCCTAAGACCGTTCCCCTTCTACGATTCACTGAACATAAATACTCTAAGTTTTTATACCCGTTTCTCCAAGCACACCGTGTGACGACAGACAGTTGTATTTTGATATTGAACCCGTGACCAGCTACTTACATGGGTCTCCATTTTACTTGTTCACTCACTGCAGGGGAAAGAAACTAATTCATTTTATAAAAATTATTAAATTTTAATTTTATTACTGGAATATTTATTTGTAGTATTACTTATTAATAATTTAAATTACAAGTATTTTACTGTTTAATAATTTTGCAGACTGTTTATAATTATATTTTGATTATGAAGATTGTAATTTAATATATTGCTATCTTTTTAAAAAATACAACATTGAAAACAGAGATTATGTTTTCTTTAGTAGATTAATTTTGCAGTTCACTTGTAAAATTATAGACAAGAAAAAGTCTGAATGAAGATATAGTTAAAGACATTTCAGTAAAAAAGAATGTGATTTCCCATTTTCACGCTTCTCAAATAGAAAAGTAACCTCAGATTCGCTTGCCATTTTTCCCAAAATTCAATAAACAATCTCTCCCTGATCCCGGTACTATTACAAACAGTTTAGCTGTCATTTGCCTTTTTGACAAAGCGACTCGAATCTTTTATTTGTGCACGAATGCAACGCAAAACGCGGTATGCTTTTGTGAAGTTTCTCCGAGACAGTTACATGGATAATCTTCTTCTTCGACATATTGCGGCAAAGAAACGAACTATGGTCCGCCGAGCATTCGTCAAAATTTGGCCTTTCTTTTCTGAACAAGTCGACGGTGCAAATGTAAGTTTGAAGACCTGATCAAAAAAAGCTGATTTAGAAAGCTAGGATATTTGATAAAGTAAAATAAATGAGTACTTGCAATGTGTTAAAAAATTTGTGTATGTAAATGTACATGCTATGTAAATGTTATGTTACAACATATGTTATAATGTGCAATATTGTATTATATTCAATGTTATATTAAAACACATTTTCGGAATAATTTGCAATAATACTTTTAAAAAAAAATTTCTCCCTCTATGATTCTTTTATTGGGTGCGTCATGCAGGACTCCTTAATAACAGCTACAATATTAAAATGAATAAAAAAAGGTCAAATCAAAACGTATAAAAAATTTGAATAAACTTTGTGGAGTTTGAAGTGCGAGTGCGTCACGTATTATTATTATAGCGTACACATAACCTTAAAAATAGTTAAATCTTCATGTTCTAACATAATCGATTATAATTTCAAAAGAACTCAATATATTTGTCTTTTCTTATTAAAAATAATACTCATACACAAATAATATGAAGTAAAAATTAATATAGGACAATAAACAGGTTAAACTAGTAAACAGACTAAATTAATATTAATTCCATATCTCAAAAAAAATCAACACCGACAAATATCTAAATAAATATTACAAAAAAGAGCTTGTCAAATAACCCATCTGACAAATTCAGTGTTAACAAACCCACTTTTACAATAAATTTTCTAATAGATCTACCTGCGTTAATTAATCGTCAAATTAATCCCGACCCTTCCGTGCATTTTATCGCATCAATCAGCACGCGATGCACATAACCAAAAAGAGAAATCCACCCCGTGGCTGCATGGGGCGATATCATCGAGAAGGTCCTTGAAACCGGTATGGGGTGATAGAGCGCTAGATCGAGAGATCCAATCTTCGCAATATTACATCGGTTATGACGGATTCTTCACGTAATTCGTGCACTCGTTTGCCGAGTGCGAGTACACCGAGCACCCTAAATCGGGTTTCCGAGGGGTGCGCTCGAAGGGATGGGTCACGAGATAATTCAAGATGGAGTCAGAGAGTCAGGAAGCGGACGCATCTGTCTGCACCAGTATTATTCTACGGTGTACTGTTTAACCTTCTCCACGTATCTCAATTCACCACTCCAATGCTTTCTTCTCGATAGCTCTTATTTTCCTGACTCAAATTCGCTCTCTTTGTTCTGCGCCTTACCTGGTATTTTCAGCATCGGTACGTTTCAAAAACCACAGAATGCTTTTAGAAGCAAGTTTCAGTGGTGAAATTGGTGTTTTGATGCTACTCTCGTTAAGGGATATTTTGTACAGCAATAATTATAGCATAGTACAGCATTAATTCTATAATTCTGTAGTATTGTTCTTAACGTTATTAAATTTTTTGAATTATGCATTTTTTATGATTATTCTCAACACTCGTTACATAATTTTTTCTCTCGTAGAGGTTATGGAAGAATGTATGTGTGTTGAAAAATTAACAATTGTTTTTCTGTAACTATTGGATAAGGTACTTCAGTTAAGTCTAACACTTCTAAAATATATATTAAATTTAGTATGGCAGAATTTACAAATATAAAATTTTTATTAAAAATCCAAACATTTATTTTCAAAATTTAAATTGAACATACGCAGACAATATATATTTCATTCAATTATTGAATATGATAAAATGAATGCCATATGGAATTATTAATATTGTAAATCACAAGTATCAAGCTAATATCATTTAAGGAAAAAAGAGCAAGATAACATCATTTAAGCAAGAAAGAATATATGAGTATATTTGCATAAAGATGCAGTGATCTGCAATCTCGAAATTAGCAGTAAAGGGTGATCTAGCGGCGAAAGGTCCCTGCAGGGGAAAGGGGTGGAAGTGGCTTCGTTTTCACCTCGATGCTAGATGAATAGGAGCGCACAAAGGGTGAGGAGGGTGGGGAACATCTGACGTCTCCGTTCGCCACTTCTCCCTAGCTTACCCTGACGTTCAACCCCCGTCCAGTCAGGGTGGAACCAGCTCCTTTCGAAAGGACCGCCCTTTTTCGAGGGTAGGGAAGTCGCTGGCCAATGAAGCGTCCCGACGTCGTTCCTACGGCCTGTTTGAAAACGGTCAGGAGCCGTGCTTACCATCAAGAAGTCCTGGCTACGATGACTGTCAGTCACGTTTCATCGTGGAGTTAGCCCTCGCTTCGATTATCCGGAGGCAGGAAGTAACGTCGAGTAGTATCCTTCGGTTTTTCGGCTAAGGAAGTTCTTTTTTCGTCACATGCCAGCTTCCAGTCGAACCATTCGCGTCACTGTGCACGGCTCGTGGATCGTTGTTGTTCAAGTTGTTGCTGCTGAACGTTACTGTGGTGATTGTGTTGTGGACTCCCGGTGAAGATGCAGAACCAGGAACCACAGATCGGGCATATGCCTGTGGCGCAGCCCAAGATGCCTGCCTCTTCCAGTAAGTTATTTGTTTCATTTATGGATCGGTTGGATGCTTTGAGAATTGACAGTGCAGTGAAATTAGATTTTTTTTGTACGACAGTTTTTTACCGTTTTGGAAAGTTAAGAGGTTTGGATGTCTTTGACTGTTGACAGTGGATACAAATTTTGAAAGACGTGGTAATATCAAGTTTGATGTAATTAATGCAATATCTAAATTTGATATGGTTACTGAGATTATAAAGTTTGACATAGTTGGTAAAATAACTTTTGCATAATTAATAGAATATATACGGAAATATGTACTGAAAGTAGGCTGAGTAAACAATAGTGAGGATAATGTGGAGTACTGTGGAGGATAGCAGAAGCTTATAAAATTCAGAAATATTATACACAAATTTAATTTATAGAAAATTTACTCTACTGAAGACCCAACAGATGTACTGTCATCGATACATTACGATCGTGTGATTTTCATCCATCCATACGTCATTTTTTGGTGAAACTAAAATTCTTTTGCAGAGTTTTTCATATTTTTTAAAATCTTCTTCCTCAAACTCGATACGTTTACTTATTAGTTCGTTATAATTTCTCCACCTACTATTAACAATAAATTAAACAAAGATCGAATTACTTTATCGTATTTTCTCTTTAACTATGGAACACCCTAACCTCAAAAAATACGATTCTACAAGTTTCTATTTTATTTCAAATAACAAGTCTTTATTTTAAATAACGAGTTCAAGTTTTTGTTTAAGTAAAAATTTCTTTTCTAAGTTTCTCAACTACCAATCTTAATTATTAATCTTCTTGTAGTCTATGACTTAATTATTTTCTCGAAAAAAATTCGATAAGTGCACTCCCAAAATTTGTTAAAAATTGCACAGAATTTTCTACAAGCATTTTTCACTTTTCACGAAAAAATAAAGAAAAGATTGTTTATGTTCGATGCGGAAGAGCGATTGTGACGTAGACGGCAATAAAACGAAATCCTCGTTTACGATACTCGTTAGCTCTGAAACCACAGTTGTAAAATACTGCTACCCTCCGAACCTGATGTCACCATCGGCAGTAATTGTTCACCCTTCAAAAGTTCGTACCTGAAGAAAGGTGTTACCTTTTTTTCAATTTTATTGCTCACTTATTTCTAACATTCACAGGTGATGTTTGTTATCGGCGAAGTTCTGGTACTCGTAATAACTTCTTTGCGATGTTAGGTTAGGTTAGGTTAAACGTTAATGGGAACTTAATACGTCAAAACTTTGTTCTCAAAGCACTGGAATATTAGAAGTGAAAATTACATTTTAATAACTTTAGTATCTATTGGCAAATAAAACGTTTTTTGTAGGAAACTTTTTGTATTTGACAGATTTAATAATTGCAGAGGTACCAATATAATATTATTTTTATACTTGCATAATTTCAACAGATTTAATAATACTTGGTGAAATTATCGAAGATATGGAGAACAAGCTAAAATCAATTTAATTCGATAGTTAAAATAGTATGTCTTCAATAGCCAATATTTTTTATTTTTTTACTGACTACGTAAATTTATAATATTTTAAATAAATTAGATTTTGAGGTCTTGAGGAAGAAATAGAAATATTATGTGCATCTCTTCCTCTAAATTACTTCACAAGGTTATATCAAGTACTTGTATCCATCTTCCATTTTCTATCCTTTCGATTTACACTCACACTAAACTTCCACTATTTCCAAATTGTCTTCCTAACTTACAATTTTTATTCGAACACTTCCCATTTCTAAATTGTCTTCTTAGTTTATAACTTTTATTCGAACACTTCCCATTTCTAAATTGTCCTCTTAATTTACAATTTTTATTCGAACACTTCCTATTTATATTTCTCCTTTCTTCTTTATATTTCTCAAAGAACCACCCTTTAAAATTAAAATACCGAATATTATCAAAGCCAATTCGTTATCAATTTCCCCCCAATTATATTCAATCAAATAAATCCACGTTTGTTAGCGAATAGGGGTATAATAGTCACGTTCGATGCATTAGTCACATCAGTAGGGGTTGCAGCGTTAATTACACGGCAGGAGAAAAGGGTGTTTGCGATCACACAGCTCATCTCGTGTGAAACAAATAGCATATGCGGCATTTAAACGGGACTGACGCTACATTTAAATGATTCGTCCCTTGTGGCATTCATCCATGAGAAAATGACGGCAGATGGTCGAAATACACTGTGGTAACCGCGAATCTCTGTGGCCCGCTAACAGGTTGCCGTGGGTGGTTGGATCTGGGCGTCATTTGTGGAAAATTCAAGATGTTTCGCTGTCAATTACTAAATTATTTTTAAATCCACCTGGATAATTTACTGACATAACTAGGTTTTGTAGACACTTACATGAATAGGTTAAGAAAATAGGAAATAGGTTACTTCGACGAAAATTGTTGAAGCAGTTGAATATAGTTACTTTGATAAAAATGGTTGAGTTAATTAGGTATGGTTATTTTAATAAAAATTGTTGTTGAGGATAAATATGGTTATTTTAATAAAAAGTGTTGTTGAGGTTAAATATGGTTATTTCAATAAAAATTGTTGTTGAGGATAAATATGGTTATTTTAATAAAAATTGTTGTTGAGGATAAATATGGTTATTTTAATAAAAAGTGTTGTTGAGGTTAAATATGCTTACTTCAATGAAAATTTTACATGTTTAGGTATGGTTGCTTATGCTTATATAGATATGCTTGACATACTATATAGAAATTTTGAATCACGTCAATAACATAGAAAATGTAGAAAATATAAAAAAATGTACTGACCGTTTCAAAAATTTTTTATAAAATTTATATATTTCTTTAAAACAAATTTAAAGTAAATTCTCCATAAATGAACCCCGAAGAAAATCAAGTATGACATACTAAATTATTTTTCATAAATTTTATATATAACATGTAATAATTAAGGGTTTCACAAAACTGTAAGGGTTGAGTCCAATATCGCAACCCTTAAATGGGTTAATGTTAAACAGATGATGGATGAATGAACGCACATATAAATCGATGGGACACGTATGTCTTTTTACACATGTCACGAAATTCCCATGATCCACCCACTAATGATTCGTGTAACACCTGATGTACAATGACACGCTATAATATATCACATACGTGTATGGAAAAATAGGGGGAAGGGTTGAAGCTTTTTTCAATGATTTGTTACTTAAAAATAAATGAAAGTATTATTAGATAATACCGTAGGATCACGTGTCCTAAAAAGATTTGAAGCTTTCAATTACAAATTGTATAAAATTTTAACTCAATATTTTTTCTTACGTATAATTCAATTCTTTTGTGATTATATAATTTATTATATAAATGATTTCACTATCAGATTGCTAAACAATACAATTTTAACGAATAAATTATTTTTAATTTTCTTTATATCTGGCAATGTTAATTTGTATTATTTTGAACCGTAATAATGCATACAGTTTCAGAATAATTATAACAAAACTTACATAACAAAACTCCAGTTCATAAAGTTTGTTGCAACTTCAGTTACGTAGAATGTAGCCGAAACTTTCTCCCTACATTGGCCAAGGGATTTTAATCCCAAGATTTCTAAGATTTTTTGTAACGTGTAATTCTAGGGGAAGATTATCCCAACGGACCACTAAATACCTCGCTTATTTTTCGAAAATAAAAGACTTTTTATACACCTTAACGGAGTTATTATTGTAGAAACGTGAATATCTTTGGGGAAACAAAATTTAAGCAGTTTAGTACCTTACACAGGTATTACACGAACAGACGTTTATCATAGCAGTTAAAAAGAGAATGTAAAATATTAGGCTGAAAATTTAGTAGTATAAATTGTATATCACATAAAAAATGTAATGTAAAATATGACTTAAAAAATGTAACACAAAATATAACTTAAAAAGTGGAATATAAAATATTATATAAAAAATGTAATATAAAATGTGACATAAAAAATGCAATATAAAATGTCAGACAAGAAATGTAACATAAAATATTACATAAAAAACTTATTACAAAAATTTAATATAAAAATTTGATATGAAATATAATATAAAAAAGTAATAATATAAAACTACACTATTTAATATTTTACAAGAGTGCAGAATATTAAATATGAAACAGATATGTCGCCAAAACTTAACAAACTACTACTTGCAATCAAAGTAATCATTTGAATTAATAGTCTGTCATTATATTCGTCCTAACCTTTTGATCTCTCGAATTAAAGCAATTTTGACATTACCAAAAATTTCGACAATGAAACGAAAAGGTCGTGAGTTTCATTGTCCACTTAATAGTTGGTTGCAAAGAAACGCGAATTGAAAGGCGATGAATTACCTACCCTGAAGCAATGATTACCCGCGTACGAACAACTTTGAAAACATGAATTTACTCTTAATATCTGGTTCAACTTTGCGAGGTACACAACACTCGCTGCTCTTCACCTTTTCGGCCATAATTGCGACGAACTTTTCCCTTAACTTCGCCCTCACGAATCATCAAGACTACGCAACCAATGGGCTTTTAACGATAAAAAATTCTGTTCAATGTGACGCTTTAGCATGAGTGAATCACATCCGGTTGAAGCGACCCTGAATTTAACCCTTCGGCAACTGCAATTTGGGGGAACTAAACTTAAACTCTACGCAATATTAATATTTCGTTCAATTACCTAAAAATGATATTAAGGACAAATGTTAAATTTAGGAGAAATCAGGAAAGTTTCGGGTTCGATTGACATATCGTGGTCGAAAACAAATGTTCAATTTTTGTTTCCCGAAACGTTGAAATCTTACAACCCCTAGAAACAAGAGTTTCGAGTTTCGAGGATTCGAAATTTTGCACTTTTATCGTGATTCGAAACTCTCGAAAGGCAGATAAGGAAACGTATGAAATCAACGAACGAAGAATCGTAGCGTGCCTCGAATATTTGATTCGCGTATCATATCCCGAATATTCGGTGCTGATGCTTTGCGAATGCTCGGCGATTAGTTTTCGTTTTCGAGGATACAAGCGGATCGACACTCGATCGTGATCGTAGAACTGCAGAGCGATGCGAGCTTAAATTTTATCGACATCGATCACAAAATAAGATATTCAGAAACAAAATCACTTCAAGTTTCGAGAGTTTCGAGTTCCCTGTTTCGAAATTTTGTGAAGCGATTCGAGGTTCGAATTTAAAAATTCGATTCGGATTTCTAAAAAATTCTCAATATGGCAGAAAGCACCAATTCTTGTCGAATTCACATTCTCATAGTCGAAGAATGAAAAACAAAGGGAACGTAAGAAAAATAAGTCGACCTTGCAGTCCCTTTCCCTACGACGCGTTTCAGTTTTCAACACGCGATTTGCGTGTGGCTAATCGCAAGCAAGCGTACGCTTCTGAGCATTCGCCTCCTCTTCATGTTCTTTCCGGGCGAGGGTCGAGTTCGATCACTGTAAAAATCCTGTGAATCATTGATGAACCGGTGGTAAGGAAAGCGACGGAAGGAAGATGACCGTCTCTCGCTAAAATATAGACCTCGATGCCGATAAAAAATTCAATCGCGATTGACTTGCGAGCCACGATGGCTGAATGCAAATTTCATGCTCGAAATGTGTATCGCGTGTCAAGAACGCGCGTTCCTCTGTGCAGACCTTTTTACCCTCGTTGCTTCATTTTTTTTTATCGAGCATTCGAAGTTCGTGAAGTTTTCTTTCTTCATTTTTGCAAATTTAACTTCCTCTATATGTAATTATTAAATCGTTTAAATTAGATTATTAAATCATTTAAATGCTTCTCCTATATGTAGTTTAGAATCGAATTTTAACATTGTGGAATTTAACAACTGCATTATGGAATGAAATACACAGTGAAAATTATTGATTCAAAATTCACTGAATTTCAATAATCATTCTTTCAGCAAAATTTTTGTTCGAATTTTAATAATTGCTCGAATTTCAAGAAAATATATTTGAACTTCAGTAATCATTTAAAATTAAGGAAACTATGTTTAAATATTAATGAGTCAGTCTGCACTGGATGAAATACGAAAGTTGTGAATTTACTTACAACTTAATAAATAAATTAAATACGGAGAATAAGTATATAGTAGTGTAAACTATATAGTAGTATAAACTATATTAGTAGTATAGTCAGCAGTATAAAATATATCATGTATGAACATAAGTACATAAATTTCATCAAATTTAAAAAATTCGAACTACCCTTAAAATTACATCCCTCCGTTCATCATTTCGTCAAATTATAATGCAATAAAGCTAATGCTATTGTTTCGAAGTGCTTCTTAGACGTTCGTAGAAGTTTCATAAAAGTTCTGTACATGAAAAATATACGTGTTTGATATTGAACTTTCCCTTTATCGTGGGAGAAAAGGGTCTCCCGTATCGTGCAAGGGTGCACCCCTGTCATTGCAACCTGTTTTTTAATGCGCATACATCGTACTTCATATAATGCGTAGGTTCCGTGAATATTTTACGTGACACTTGTCTTTGCTTTCTTGCTTTTCCATCGGGCGATAAATTCAAATTTCCGAGAAAGATGGATCGGCGCGAAGCTAAATGATAAGCGCCACACATTTCGTGATATCAACAGGTTGTTGCGTTTCTGATTTAACCCGCTGAACTCATTAAGCGCACAACATGACTTTTATGTAGGATTCTTTATAAAATTATTTAGGGAAAAAAATACGACACAATTTATTTATTTATTATTCTTTACTTATTTCAATATTCTTTTGTTGATGTATTAAAGGAGGTTAGACAGATTTGCAGAAATAGGTTAGTTTCTTTCATTGTGGAAGATGGCGTTCGAGTCTCGTGTGCTCGACGAACCATACTGTTTTATAAAAATATAGTCAACAAGAAGACGAGATGGTACACATTCAAAAATAAGTAAATACACGTGTGGTACATGTTACAATAACTTTATTAGATACAGAAGATCTCTAGAAATAAACCTTCTACATACTCCTTTTACCTGACCAAAATGACCACAGAGTCTTTAAAGATTAAAAGTTTTCAGTCTACAAAAATCCACCCGAATCTCTTCGTATTTTATATTTTTGCTATTCAAGTACACCATGAGCCTTCAAACTGATCTAAAAAATCGATACAAAGTCCCAAATCTCGCGTTATCTCCGCAAACAACGAAATACATCAAAACCACCCCCGCGAACTGGTACCCGAAGAAAGGGAGTTTCGAAAACGTTTAACCTTCTCATAATAAGATCCACGTTAAGTAAGATAAAGGAGCCGAGGGAACCGATCGAGGGAGATCAGGCGATACGAGCGAAGTGTCGCGTTTCTGGCTGCTCACTTAAAGGCTGCTGAATGCAGCAGCCACATCCGGTCTATTCAGCCCCATTCACAAGCCCCGTCGATCTCAATGGCGTAGGCGGAGCCCGTGACAACGAGTTGGTACCCCCATTATAAATGTACCACACCCTTGCTGTCCCACGTAGATGGCCAGCACGAACAGGTATAGAATCGCGTACGTCCAGGAGGTCCTAACTTGGCGACAAATCGATCCATTCATCGACGATGTCATTCACGGGATCCGTGTTTTCGATGGTAAACGGGTTCCGATCCAAAACAGCCATTCTTTCAGATTAGACTGTCGGCTCTTTTCTTGGTTTTGCTGACAATGCACCGTTTAGCAGGACCTTCTTATTCGCCTCTTTGTTGCGTTTGAGTTCTTAACTTTGAGTTCTGAACTTTCTGGAGCAGCTAAAATATTTTTGGGGAGGGAAAGAATTTTGGGAGCTTGTCAGTTTTAACATAACCTATAATTTTTATTTACTCAACTTATAATTTTTGATTCACGCAGGTTTAGGTTAGGTTTTAGTTTCAGCTAAGTTTAGTATTAACCCTCGACTGATTTAACTTACATAAGATTGCAATGTTAAGATAATGAAAATCGACACGTTAGACACCAAATTTACCAAATTTTAATTGTTGAAATTGTATTGACCCAAAATCATAATTCTTATACAGATCTAAGTTTGTCATACCTCTCCATTGAATTTATGAAGAGTGTGCTCTTGAGTGTGAATCTCATTTGTAAACTCACAAAATAAATTTGACACTAGTATAGTACATAGTGTAATGATAAATGTAAAACTTTAGAAACTAAGGAAAAATTGTTGTGCATTTCAGGTCGCATTCTTTACGACATCCCTTGCAAAGTATGTCGGGATCATTCTTCAGGGAAACACTACGGTATATTTGCCTGTGACGGATGTGCAGGGTTCTTCAAGAGATCGATACGAAGAAATCGTCAGTATGTTTGTAAAGCGAAATCTGAGGGAGGCTGCATGGTGGACAAAACACATCGGAATCAATGTCGGGCATGTCGTTTGGCCAAGTGTATTCAAGCTGGCATGAACAAAGATGGTAAATTTTATTCTTATTATTTAATCGATATATTGGAAAATAATTATAATTATACAGAACGATTATGACTGTATATGACTGTAGATTAACCATGATGACACTAATTGTTTAAGACATGGATTATTCAAAAAAAGAAAAAAGAATATTCATAAAAATTGAGTCTTGAGTCTTTGAGACTTGATATAATATTTACAGTAGTTCTTTTTCACTTTATTTATATTATTATATTTATAATAAAACTTATCATATAATGTATTTATAATTATATTATTATAATGCAACTATGTTTGAGGAATACTCAGTGTTCAAACATAACCTGCTTTAATATTCAAAATCAATTTAAAGTACAATAAAATAATCGTATCGTAACAACCAAATTGCATATAAGATCTAAATAGCAATCTCCTAAAATTCTTTAAAACAGTAATTACTGTGTCTCGAAGCTTGTTTGACATATCAAGTCAAATAGTCAGTAAAAACTCGCAGATAAACTTATCTCGTAACATCTTGAGAAGACCCTACCATAAAACAAAAAAGCAAATAAATCTCTTTCGGTAATGTGTGCTAAACGTCGTATTAACGCGAATCTTATATTTTTCCAGCTGTGCAACACGAACGTGGCCCACGAAACTCGACTCTACGAAGGCAGATGGCCTTGTATTTTAAAGAACCCGAAATGATGGCCAACATGGTGCCCCCACCAGCAGCGGCTTTGGATCTAGTTTTGCCCAAACCAGAACCCCGGGTTTCTGTCGCAGCGCCAGCCCCTCATCATCCCCTTCCACACCCTGTTTATTGTAATAGCATGGCCATGTCGAAGGTAAGCCTAATTCTACAAATGACACATATTTCTCATCTTTGAACAATAATATTCACTTTGTTATTCATTTGTTACATTTACGTGTTCGGTTATTTGACGCACGAGGTGTGTCAATGAAAACATGTCCATGAAAGTATGAAAATGTACATGTATAGCAGATGATCAAACATCAAAATGATTAGTTATAAATATTAGCTATAAAGTATTAGGTATAAACTACTAAAATGTTAGATAAGTATAGTGTTCATGATAAACTTGAATATTTATAATTTTAACACTGAAATGACCACCGAGGTCAAATGAGCACTTCACACATGTATTTCAAGTCTTAAATTTTGTTGAGCTTTCCGGAAATCTGTGTTGATTTTTCGAAAGATAAAAACTTCATATGCATCTTAATTTGTGTTATTTATTTTTAATTCCAAAGTGAGTGTTATTTATTTCAAAGTACGTATTAGCTTAGCATCAAAATGTAGTAGCAGCTAAAAGGTAGTGTAGTAGCAGCTTCACTAAAAAAATATTTTCAAGAACTAATTAAGTCAGTCCGAAAAGATATGTAACAACACCTTCACAACTCGGAAAACTATAAATTCAAGAACCACAAGCAAACTTACAAATTCCAAACATCTCGTAATTTTCTATATCAATATCCTCCATATCGCAAACAAATCTAACTAAAACATCTTCCAAACTTCCAGATCCCAGTCAGTATGGCAGGCATACCGTCCGTGCAGGTAATCCCCGCGATAACAGCGGAGTCCATCTGCGAGCAAGCTGCAAGATTGCTCTTCCTGAACGTGCACTGGGCAAGAGACCTAGCCGCCGGAACGAACCTAGCTCTCGAGGACCAACTGACCCTGCTAGAGTCCTCCTGGAGAGAGCTGTTCCTCCTCGCAGCCGCTCAAATCCTGCCCACATTGGATCCAACCGCTTTGCTTCCTCCTGGTCCTCAAGGTCTCGGCCTAGCAGTCGAAGTGAATCGATTCAAGGAGACCCTGGCTGGTTTCCATGCGATGAGCCTCGATCAGCACGAGTTCGCCTGCATTCGAGCGATCGTTCTCTTCAAGGCGGGTTTAGACAGCGAACCTCTACCGAGCAGCAGAAGCAGCAACGGTTCCGCGTCTCCCAGCACCGGAAGTAGGCTCAGAGATCCTGCTGCAGTGGCAAGGTTAAGAGACGGGGCACAGTTAGCTCTTGGGCAAAGATTGAGTGGCGCGTCCTTTGGAGCTTTGAGGTTTGGGAAACTTTTGCTGTTGCTGCCGTCGCTTCGTTCGGTGTCCACGCACGCGATCGAGGAATTGTTCTTCAGGAGGACCATTGGAATTATCCCGATCGAGAGGATCATTTGCGACATGTACAAGGCTGCATGAGCGGGTCGCTTGGAGTGGTAGATTACAATGAAATGAAGTTTTGGTGCGGTAGATCGTTATATTGCCGTGGAGATTGTAGAGAAAGATTTTTGGAAATGTTGCTTTTTTGTGGTGGATGAAAGTGGTTTGAGATATAGCTCAAGGTCATTCATAGTTATTGCAATTTGTAATTATTATGACAAGTTGATATTACAACGCATCAATGCAAGGAGATGATATGTCAAAGTTGAGATTTCAATACAATGACTTTACTATCTGTTGATATTGTGACGTGTTACTGCGATGCATTGACATTATAATCATAATGTGATATCAGAAGGTGTTAGTATTATAACGGATCGATGTCTCAATGAGTTGATACGTGAACACATCGACGTTTTAATGCGTTGAAATTACGGGTTGACATTACAGAGATATGACAATGCGTTGAGGTGACAATGCGTTGAGGATAAAACGCGCCGATATTACAATCTACCAATATCCCTACGCATTGAGATTATATCGCGTCGATATTACAGCGCGTCAATGTCACAATCTATCAATATCTCAACGCATTGAGATTATAACGCGTCGATATTACTTCGTGTCAATGTCATATTCTACCAATATCTCAACGCAATGAGATTATAACGCGTTGATATTAGAGCGCGTCGACGTCAAAATCTATCAATATCTCAACGCATTGAGATTATAACGCATCGATATTACAACGCGCAAATGTTACAATCTATCAATATCTCAACGCATAGAGATTATAACGCGTTGATATTACAGTGCGTTGATTTCACAACACATCGAAATCTCAACGTGTTGATATTACAACGCGTCGATCTCACAAATCATCGATATCTCCACGCGTTGATATTACAGCGCGTCGATTTCACAATGCATCGATATCTCAACGCGTTGATATTACCACGCATCGATTTTACAAAGCATCGATATCTCAATGCGTTGATATTACAGTGCGTCGATTTCGCAACGCATTGATATCTCAACGCGTTAATATCACAGCGCGTCGATTTCACGACGCATTGATATCTCAACGCGTTAATATTACATCGCGTCGCTTTCACAACGCATCGATATCTCAACGCGATAATATTACAGCACGTCGACATCTCAACGCGTTAATATTACAGCGCGTCGATTTCATAACGTATCGATATCTCAATGCGTTGATATTACAACGCGCCGATTTCACAAAGCATCGATATCTCAACGCGTTGATATTACAGCGCGTCGATTTCACAACGCATCGATATCTCAACGCGATAATATTGCAGCGCGTCGAATTCACAACGCATTGATATCTCAACGTGTTGATATTACAGCGCGTCGATTTCACAACGCATCGATATTTCAACACATTGATATTACAACGCGTCGATTTCACAAAGCATCGATATTTCAACGCGTTAATATTACAGCGCGTCGAATTCACAACACATCGATATCTCAACGCGTTGATATTACAGCGCGTAGATTTCACAACGCATCGATATCTCAACGCGTCAAGATTACAACACATTGACATTACATTTCGTCAACATTGAAATGCATAATTATTACTACTCATCGATATGACAACACAGCCATCACAACGCATTGATAGTACAACACATAATTATTACAACGTGTCGAAATCCATATATTGTCATCACATGACAATATATTATTACAAACGCGTCATTGCAAGCCATAATTACAGCGTACGGTCACTACACACGTGATCACATATCTCGTAACACGTGACGGTATACTCTGCCATTACATGCCACGGTACTTCACATAACGTTCAATATATTGCATATCTGTGTTCTACAAAGAATTTTTAGTTGCATTCGTTGATCACAGAAAAATTGATAATATTGCAATGATTTTTACAGTTGATCTAAGAAGAAATAGGATTACAGCAATATGAGAACAAATAGCATTACAACCGGCAATATAACGAGACTCTACGGCACCTAATCCTGAAATGTCGATGTTTTTGAAAACAAAACAGGCAAAGGCAAATTAAAGCATAACTTATATTATTTAATTGAATCCCTATCTTGCGATTACATTAATTTTTACTTATACGGATTCTTGTTACAAGAGTCTCAACAGTTTAGACGAAGATTTAAGTTTATTAGAAAATTTGAATGTAGCGGATTTCTTAAGAAAGTTTCATTTGATCAGCTTGTTGAGGATGGAAAAGAATATATAAAGCAATGATGAATTTTATTTTAGCAGAATAGGAAATCAGCTGTGATGAAAACATATCACAAAGAATAAACACGAGAGGATGAATAAAGATGCATCGATTATTTTTATATTAATTATATCGAATCGAAAGTGCGTACATGGTACGACAATCGCAATAATTCAGCATCTACCTGTAACGGCTTTAACGAGGTATCTTATTAATAACACGTTTTATTCGAGCAAAACAATCAATGTATAGGAATGTTTGATTTAAGAGAGTTAGAATTTAGTGCCGTTTATGAAAAATACTTTGTTTTAGTCGCGATCGTTGCAATATGAAATACTTCAAAATGTAAAACTTTAGGAGTTTTAGTTAGACTAAAAAAGAAGAATGACTTAAGACGAAATTAATCGTGTATAAATGTAAAATATGGTAAATCTGCATGAATGTTGAACGGAAATTGTTATTTCCTGTGTATGAAGATATTATCGCGCCTATGGCGTGCTTATTGTACATAGAAACTTAAAGATATGTAAATAAAATGTTACAGATCATAAAAGTCTTTGGATTACTTATTCTCTCTTTTTTTTGTTAAAAGTTAAGGTACTTTCTAAATTTCCAAATTTCCAAATTTCCAAACTTCTAAATTTCCAAATTTCCAAATTCCCAAATTTCTAAATTTCTAAATTTTCAAATTCCCAAATTTTTCAATTTCCAAATTTCCAAATTCCCAAATTTCCAAATTTCTAAATTTCCAAATTTCCAAATTCCAAAATTCCCAAATTTCCAAATTTCCAAATTTCCAAATTTCCAAATTTCCAAATTTCCAAATTTCCAAATTTCCAAATTTCCAAATTTCCAAATTTCCAAATTTCCAAATTTCCAAATTTCCAAATTTCCAAATTTCCAAATTTCTAAATTTTCAAATTTTCAAATTCCCAAATTTCTAAATTCCCAAATTCCCAAATTCCCAAATTCCGAAATTCCGAAATTCCGAAATTCCCAAATTTCCAAATTTCCAAATTTTCAAATTCCCAAATTCCCAAATTCCCAAATTTCCAAATTTCTATTATAAATTTCTAGGTTTCTAAGTTTCAAGGTTCCAAACTTCCAGATTTCCAAATTTCTACATTTTTAATTTTTAACTTTCTAAATTTCCAACCCCTAAATTTTCAAATTTCTGCCCTCTTAAATTACACACTTAAATACATTAAACATCACACTTTTACACATTACAAAATTTCTCTATTAATTTCGCAATCCCCAACTTTCTAAATTTATCCTTCAATTTATCACTCTACACACTGATTCCATTATCATCCAATTAATCCACCGTTGCTCCTATAATAACCGCGTGTAATCACACCACAACATCAAAAATAAAAACATAAAATATTTCCTTAAAGAAAAGGTGAAAGGCACCACAACGAAAAGGTACGGTAAACAGCCACAAATTACCATTTTTTTCCAAGAAGGAAAGATTTCGAAAGAAGAGGGAAAAAAAACTTTCTCGGTTAGAAACATCTAAATTTTACCTGCACTTTCGCGATACAATGAAACGTATTTCACGGGAATTTTACGGTGATTTGAGTGGTAATCGCAGTACAAAGGTTGGCCGCGTCGGACTTGTTCGAGGCTGTCAGTATATTTAGAGGTATTTCCTACCGTAGACCAACGTGTAATCACTAAGACGGGTAAATAATCGTTTTGGTTGACCGGTGAAAAAGCATTCGAGCCTTCCATTGGAAGTCGGCTGCCAAAGTCTGCATCGAATTCTTTGTAAAGAATGTCACACACCCCCTCGGAAAAATACGTTCTGTTATTTTTAACGATGATCCGGGATCTATGATCCTTTCGGGGGTTGATTATACGATGTTACAATCAAGTATACAGACTCCCAATTCTGTAAAGATATTTATTTATTGAGACGGGTGTAATTGAATTTACTCAAGGGATTTTCGAAATGACAATACGGAAGTCTCAACTGAAAATGTGCAAATGCAGGACAGATAGATTTCGTTGCTGGTTTACAAAAATTTTAATGTTACTTTTTATGAAGATCATAGGAATGACCACACTCGAATTATATTATATTATAATTATAACATTTGTAATCCACTTATAATATTATATATTTTATGTTTGACTTTGAAGTTTCATTAAAATTGAAATATTTTAATATTTCGTTCTATAAAGTCATGTGCAATGATCTTTTTTAAGGAAATGGCTTTATGAAGGTCTTATGTCACCTTCTCAACATTGATTCTATGATTTGGTACTATTTTTGAAAATATTAGAAACTGCTTTTTTAAAGTAACAAATGCTACCTATGGTTATCATTTTGATATTAAAATTACTTCTTTCTATAAACATACACAAGTTTATATTTATATAAGTATATTTATATTTATTATGTCTATACATATTTAGGCTCATGTATAGACCTATAGACATAAATACATACAAGTATAACAAGTTTAGTATACACTTGCATACAAGTGTATGTATTTATAAGAAAGGAACATAATAAAAATATTCTCACGGATCAGAAGATGAAAGAGTGATGCGGGAAATGTGTCGGTGCCAGCTCCAGCAGTGTTTGAGTGACTCTTCTGGTTCGCATGGCTGAACTCTGAAATGTTGGCACTTAACAGTCGTTGCGTTCCTTTGCTCATAAATCTGTTTGTATCGATACATAGCACCTCGATAGGTACCAGCTTAATTCCTTGTCACTTGAAGAATTCAACGTCTATTTTCCTTGCGAAGACCGTTTTGACACAATAACTTGTCGGTTTCTTTAAATGGGTTACTTATAAAAATTTGTATATGTGATATTCTTGACTAGTATGTTTTATCGTGAAGTAAAGATCGTATGAAGAACATGAAGCATTTTTAACATAATTAAATACCTGACTAAATCATCAGTATCATTTAATACCTACATTATTGAATATCTAACTAAATCAGTATCATTTAATACCTACATCATCAAATACCTAAATCATCAGTACCATTTAATACCTACATCATTAAATATCTAAAGTCACAATCACCGTTGTAAATTCCTAATATCATCAGCATTATATAATATTTTCTATCCACTTAAAAATGAGATACACTTCATACTGCAAAGACTAAAATAATACTTCTACATAATTTTTAAACAGTAAACATAATTCTATTTCGATTCCACTGCAATTCCCTCCAAACATCAAAAATATTAAAAATGAATAAGTGTCAAACAAAAGTTGCAATCTTCGAACCAAGTAGCACAGCATCCAAAGAAGCACAAAGCATGCGGCAGCAAAGCTTAGATTAAAAGGCGACCCCCGAGATCCTGAAGACTCAACCTCAAGGATTTCGGATGCGTACATTGTACGCTGACAAATTGCTCAGGTAAACAGTCCGCCCAAAAGTATCGGTAGCCCTACAGGGCTGTCGATTTGGACAACTCGCAAATTTTTTTGGGACGAGCAGATGTAAATACCGTTTCAACTGAGTCTTAAACGAGATGGAGACACAAAATGGCGGAACGTTTGTCTTTGTAAGCAATGGATTCAAGTTTCGTGTTTTATATTATCGAATTTTATTGCGGTACTTTTGTCGAAATATTTTGAGATAAACAAGGGTTGCATATGTTAGTTAATGCTACGTTTACTTATTTTATTGCTTCATTTTTAATTTAAAAATAAATGTGTATTTGACTGGCAGTGTTAAGGCAAGAATATGTTCAGATATAATAGTAATACTATTGTATTGTTGTAATAATAATACAGTTTAATAGAAATATAATAGATTTAATAGAAATACAATACAGTGATAGAAATATAGTACAGTTAGTTTGAAATACATGATCTTTGCTGTACGAGTTCTATTTATTAACCTTTTCGTTCGTTTCATCATAACCTAAAAATCACTATGTTTGTAACACATTCACACTCTCCATCTTCCTTTCGTTTCCTACACTTTCGTCCTTTCCCCATATTTCACGACCATAAACGTACCACAATCGTGTCTGAAAGTTACCAAAATCTAGATCGCTGAAGTACAGCAGTTTTCTCTCCAGTTGCTCGTTAATTGACTACAATGGCGACCGCGTATGGAGCGCATTTTCTGTTTTGTTGCCTCAAAACAAAGCCGACAATGCGGCTGATCCCGTGAGAGGGCACTCGACCACCGTCCCCGATTTTTCCCGTCGAAGCCCACGACAGTATCGGCGATTCTGCTCGAGGATCAGGCGACGAAATCGAGATTGTAACATATAGTCGAGTGTCCTTTGTTAACCCACCGGCGGAGAGCGCAATTACATCCTCACCCCCATTGTAACTCGACAGCTTTTTGTTACTGTTTCGTTCGGTTACCTTGTTTTCAGCGACGCCAAGGGGGAGAACCATAGAAAGAGAGGGGAATAGAGGTTAAGGAGAGAAATCGCCACGAGGCTCCGTACATGCTGGACTTTGGAACTTTACAAAGGGCAGCCTTAGTTATTTTTTTCTCGCGGGGTAATTACGCTTACGGAGATCTGGGAATGAGTGCGGTTCGTGGAGCACCCTCGGAATTAGGCAGACTGCCGATAATGATGCTGCAGTTAATGACATCCTTAACGCTGTTATAATTAACCCTGGGAAGTTAGTGCAAAAATAAATTTTGTAGTTTCAACTTGGAGATTTAAATAAGTGCAAAAATGTTCAATTATCGAATCAAATTCAATAGTTCAATTTTGAGCAAACTCAGACACTATCATTTTGTATAAAAATTTTCACTGATGATCTCAATAAAAATTACCTGCTTAATCATTACTTAAAAATCATTTTATTGATACCAGTATAATTTTGCAATGTAGGTTATGCTAAATACATCATTGAATTTTTGCTAGCAAAACTTTACAAATTTATACAGATCAAGTATTTTTAAACATGTTGTTATATGATGTCATATACTCGTATGTCATAGATTATATATGTGAATCCTCTGAATACTGGTTTAAAAACTCTTGAAAACGAGGTAAATCAGACAAGTGGCTAGACGTGCACTAAACATGCCACACATGATGTGTGACAAGTAAAATTGAAAACCAGTGATCAACCATTAAAAAATATAATATATGAATATTATAAACCTTGCAAAAATCTTTCAATCTCCAATGACTCCAAAGTATAGAACTTGATATCGATTTCATCACAGGCCTATTACAAACCACATGAAAACTGCACTAAGCTTGAAGCATAATTACAAAAAACAAAGGCCGTCTAATTACGCAAGCAACAAAAGAAACAAAGAACAGCAAAGGCAAAAAGACAGGAAACAGTCGAACTAGCAATAAATCGGTGCCCGAACGCGGCTATCGACATCATTGTTTCTCGAAATGACCCGCGTGTTACCCCATTGGCTGTCTTATGACAAGGTGCTGATGTACACCACCGGTGGGAACCACTTGTCGACTTTTGTGAACG